GGGTTTAGGGTTTAGGGTAAGCTTTCTCTAACCGAAACTTGCTTTGGGTTTGCGTGCCTGCATATCCTTGCTGGAAGCCTCGCCGCATCGAGGACGGCGAGTGCCGAGGGGCGCTTGTGACAGAGGCTGGCGGAATGGCGCGGGGGTTCTTCGGTGTATATCGTGACAATTAGTTCGGCGGTAGTGTTTCTGCTTTGGGAGTATAGCTGTTTGCTTCGGGAGTCCCAAAACCGAAACCCTAAACCCTAANNCCTAAACCCTAAAACCTAAAAGCCTAAACCCTAAACCCTAAACCCTAAACCCTAAACCCTAAACCCTAAAACCTAAACCCTAAACCCTAAAAACCCTAAAAGCCCTAAACCCTAGTCTACGGCGGTTTGTAAAGGGCACCCACAAGATTGTATGCTTACTTACAGCTTTAGGTATCCAAGCTTCAGGCCGAGGTTAAGAGCTTAGGGTTTCGGGGCCCCAAACCTCAAACCTAGGACATTTTCAGGTGGGTAGTTACCGTTCTAGGAGCCTTATAGAAGGTTTATATACCTTATAGAAGCCTTATAGAAGCCCTATATACCCTAAACGCCCAACCTGTAGTTTCCTTTAACTAAACCAACTCCTATCAAAGGCTACCGTTCTACGTGCTCTTGGGGTCCAGGTAGTCCCTCAACCCTAAAGCCGAAACCTTAACCCCTAAAGCCGAAACCTTAAACCCTAAACCCTGAACGCTAAACCCTAAACCCTGAACCCTAACCCTGAACCCTGAACCCTGAACCCTGAACCCTGAACCCTAAACCCTAAACACTATGTCCTAAACCCTGAACCCTAAGCCCTGAATCCTAAACAGTAGCTGCTCAGAAGCTTCAAGTTTCAGGCTTCGGACTGTAAGGCCCAAACACCAGGCACCAACCGCTCGGATTTAGTGTTCATGGGTTCAGGGGTTTAGGGTTTAGGGTTTCAGGGTTTAGGGTTTCAAGGGTTAGGGTTTATACAGGGTTCAGGGGCCTAATTGTTAGCGCTTCAGGGGTTTAGGGTTTCAGGGTTTAGATTACGGTTTATACAGGGTTTAGGGTTTCAGGGTTTAGGGTTTATACAGGGTTTAGGGGGTTAGGCTTTATGGTCTGAAGGCAAGGGTCTTAGCTTCATGAGGCTTTGAGCTAGGACTAGGACAGCGGGCAAGAAGCGGCACAGATGCTGGTCTTCAAGAAGTTGTGGGTTTGCGGTTTGCATCAGCCCACGCCGCTCCTAATAATCGGCTAGGGAGTTGTGTCTGAGGGTACTTTGGTTGCACGACATCCCAATCCCTAAGGGTCCATGTACCCAAATAGTAGATACTTTGGCCCCAAAGTACCTATATAGGGACTACTTTAAGGCCAAAGTACACACTATTTGGGAAAAAACATGGACCCTTAGGGACTACGGAATGGAAGAGGTGGCTGGCGGTGGCACCTGTGTGGCAACTCCATCCAAGGACGGGCTTTTTAGCGACCTGCATCGATGCACGTAAGCATGTTGTCTCAATGCCTCGCGATCCCAGAATAGCCTTGAATAGCCCCAAGCTCTAAACTCTGAAGCCAACAACGTGTCCTGCGACAATTAGCCACTAGCATTCGAGCTGCATCAGGAGAAACAGTAGCTTTGCTGCAGAGGAACAATGCAATCGTTAGCAGCACGTTTTGATCCATACGCTTTTATCTTCAGAAACCTGAGCCATTAAACATACTCTGCCTTCGGGCTTTTTTTTGTCATAATGGTACATTATACCCAGAACCCTGCTGTAGGTTATACTGTATATATTAATCTCTCTGCACCCTTCATACCCTAAAACCCTACACCCTAAACCCTAAACCCTAAACCCTAAACCCTAAACCCTTCATGCCAGAAGCCTGCTTGCTAATCCTTTTCGTGCTTCCACTCCTGTCAATGAGGGCCCAGAGTCCAGAGAGCCTAGGCGTTGTACCCCGCAACTGAGGAAAACAACTTCAAACGAAAAAGGGCTGCTTCTCATGATCGAAGTTAGGGTTTAGGGTTTAGGGTTTAGGGTTTAGGGTTTAGGGTTTAGGGTAAGGTACCTTCCTGAATCCAAAGGCCTAACCAAGGACAGATAGAAACCTGCGCACCCTCTAGTAGCCCTGTATAAAGATAGTCCTTAGCCAAAGGCGTTTTGGGCTCTCCGGGACACTTTTCAACCTCGAGATTCATCCCTAAGGCTCCTTTGTACCTTTATAGTAGATACTTCGGCCTTAAAGTACCTATATGGGGACCCTAAACCCTAAGCCCCTAATCCCTAAATCCTATCCCTAAGGCCCCTTTGTACCTTTAAAGTAGATACTTCGGCCTTAAAGTACCTAATAGAGGACCCCTTTAAGGCCTAAGTAATTCATCCCTAAGGTACCTTTATAGTAGATACTTAGGCCTTAAAGTACCTAATAGAGGACCCCTTTAAGGCCTAGGTATCTACTATAAAGGTACATGCAGCCTTTGGGCTTTATAGTAGATACTTCGGCCTTAAAGTACCGAATAGAGGACCCCTTTAAGGCCTAAGTATCTACCCTAAGGTACCTTTATAGTAGATACTTCGGCCTTAAAGTACCGAATAGAGGGACCCCCTTTAAGGCCTAGGTATCTACTATAAAGGTACATGGAGCCTTTGGGCATCTGGCAGGACCAGACTCGGGATGCGAAGGCTCATGCTCTGTGCGTGAAGCTCGTATCTTGGCCGGAGAGACAGGGCTTGGGTCTACCCTAAACCCCAAACCCTAAATTTAGGGTTTCTGGTTCAGGGTTTGGTTTAGGGTTTAGGGTTTAGGTTTTCTACCGCATAAGATTTGGGATTTACAGCAGAACTCGACTTGAAGTCAAAAGCAAACACACTTGTAAAGTCTACGAGAGTTTTTTTTGTGAAATGCTCCGAACTTCAGGTTTGAGGGGCTTCACGACTTGTAGCAATGCTCACCAGAACCAGCGGTTTAGGGTATAGGATAGGGTATAGGGTTTAGGTTTAGGGTTTAGGGTTTAGGGTTCAGGGGTAGCACCGACTGGGCCAAAAATCCAAAGCTGAAGACCCTAAACAAAAGCCCCTAAACCCTGTCTAGCTGAGCCCTGCACGGGATCAGCACTCCGATGCCAGCAACCTTCATCCCGCAGCCCAAGCCCAAAATGGGCCCTTGGACACGAACGCAACAGCCCCTGAGTTCGCACACTTCAGCCGCATTCACAGCACGACAGCAGCTGATGTACCCCAAGGCTGGTTCTGCAGAGGCTCCTGTTCGTATTTGCTATGTGGGTACCGCACCCCTTTTCGAAGTCTGCTGAGAATCTTTGTGTTTTTGGGCTGGGTTTTGGCATTCTGGTTGCCTCAACTCTGATCCCCAGGCGAAGTCCGTTTGACCCGTCGGCCATTTAGAGTTTTGGACCAACTCCGAGGCGTCGCCACATTACAGCGTGTCGCTGCTCTCTGCCGAGCGGTCCGGCGTAGCCGAGCAGGCTGCCAGATCTGTAGGGATCACCGGAGTGCCAAGCTTTAGTGCTGGGCTTCGGCTGTGTCTGAGCTTCAGGTTCAACTCTTGCAATTCATCTTCTTCGCATTGCCTTGGATAGCTGATGAAATTCGGTGTGCCCTTTTAAACCCTCAACTGCACTTCGGAACGCAACAGAATTCTTAATTTCGCAGCCCAGCCGTACACGATCTGGCTTAGCTGATTAATGCCCTATCTTTTCCATACAAAGGTCGGAGGGTTTTTAGACGCTTCATCTTTTCTCAGCTCCGTTCCGTTAAAGCCTTAGAGTCGCGAAACAGTGAATCCTAAGCCATATAATCCCCGCAAGCTCCGACATCAGCAAAGTGTTTAGGGTGAAGGGCTTCAGGGTTTGATAATTTGAGGTTGAGGGTTCAGGGTTTAGGGTTAAGGGCTTAGGGCCGAACAAGCTATTCCAAAGCTGTCCTTTAAAGTGCTTATTCCCCCACATATTCCACGAACATACTTGTTGCATGAGCACTTTGAATAGTCACAATACACAGCCTGAAGACCCTGGGCGCTGGTCCCGAAAGAGCCCTGAAGCACGCAGCCCAACAACCAACCCTGAACCCGGCTTGGAGGATCATGCCACTGAGTACGCCTGGATATAAGCACCTGAATTGTGGTTCTAAGTACAGTACTTAGAAGCTTAGCTACCCTGAGAAAAACTCAGTTTCCCTATCTACGTCCCATGATCTGTCAAGTATATATATATATATATATATGTGTGTGTGTGTGTGTATATATAGTATACTAATGCCAAAGCCACGGCCCTCAAAACCCTGAACCATAAACCCTAAACTCCAGCAGATCTATAAGCCCTAAACCCGTACGCTCCAAACCCCAAGTCAATCTCCAAACTCTGAGCCCGATAAACCCTCAAATCTAAATGCCAACTCGACGGCTATTGTTCTACGTATATACTCTTGGGATCCAGGTAATCCGCAAACCCTCACCCTAAACCCTAAACCCTAAACCCTAAACCCTAAACCCTAAACCCTAAACCCTAAACCCTAAACCCTAAACCCAAACTCCCTACTACCCAGAGCTGCGCGGCGAACTACATCCTTGCTGGCTGCAGCTGCTCGGCGAGGCCTGGTCGGTCGGAAGTAGGGTTTAGGGTTTTAGGGTTTCGGGTTCGGGGTCTCAAGGTTTGGGGTTTTAAGGTTTAGTGTTCAAGGTTTTAGGGTTGAGGGCTTGAGGGTTTAAGGTTTCAGGGTTTCGGGTGATGGGTCTAGGGGTGTAGAGAGGTTCAGGGTTTGGGGGTTTAGGCTTGGGACCTCGGGGTTATGGCTGTTAGAAACTGCGAGAATGGTCTTCCAAATGGTCTTTCGGCGGGTGGGGTCTTACGTCTCGGGGTTCGGGCTCAAGTCATCGTCCCGCGATCCGGGTTCACACGACGGATTTTATCGCCTACTTGTCCTTGGTATCGTTTCTGTTCGAGATCAGTGCCATCGGCGTTAGCAAGATGTGTTGATTATTGCGGTGGCTGCTTAGACTTTGACGATTGCCATCTCGATTCTCATCTTTAATGCTGCTATGTCTACTCTGGGCTGCTATGATGATCACGACCCTTCGTTTCGACGATGGTAAGAAGTCTGAGCCCAACTGTCAGAACTTATGTATGGCCGCATTTACGGAATGTAAGCTCCATACGTGATGCCCCAGACCCTCAACCCCGGACCCCTAGCTCTACCTTAACCCCGAATAGCCTACCTTTTATGAAGGAACCCAAAGCCCTAAACCCTAAACCTCACAATAAGGAACCCTAAACCCTAAACCCTAAACCCTAAACCCTAAACCTCACAATAAGGAACCCTAAACCCTAAACCCTAAACCCTAGAGGCCCTAAACCTCACAACAAGGAACCCTAAAGGTGCAGGTTTCTTAGGGTCCAAGTACATCTTGAGCCCTCAGCCCTGAAACCTTAGCTTTAGGACCGGTTCGCGAAGCCTAAGTTGTGTCTCAACAGGCGGCTGCGCAGGCCAGTATCAGTAATGGTCATAACAGTAATAACACAAGTAGCAATTATAATGGAGTAATTAGTCACGAACATATGCTAACAGCCTCGAGATGTACTCTATCGATAACAAGGGTTGAGGTCTCAGGGTTGAGGACTTTCCGATTTAGGATTCAGGGCCAACACAAGCAAGCAGCGAGCTTTGTTAGCCCAAAGCCCTAGACGCAAAAGCAGGGCTGGGCAGCACTGCCTAGTGGCTCCTTCCGATGACGGCACAAAATGTGTGGCGGAGGGGCCGGATGGGATTCAGAGCAGCATTTAAGATGGGTATAGGTTCGCGGTTTAGGGGCTTTCGGGTTTAGGGTATAGGGTTTGGGTGTCAGAGCATTGCCCAAAGGGTCCAAGTACCAGTATAGTATATACTTTGGGGCCCAAATACCTACTAAGTACTTACTATAATGGTACTAGGACCCTTTGGGTTGGGGATCGTGCGAAGAAATTTGGAAGAGTTGGGACGATTGGCTGCAGGGAATGATTGCCACTCTTCAGGCTCAAAGTCGAGGCTTGAATACCGCATTGCGACATGGAGGGGGATTAGGGTTTAGGGGTTTAGGGTTTAGGGTTTCGGGTTTAGGGTTGAGGGTTTTAGGGCATCATGATGATTTTTACAGGTTTATTTGTTGTTCAGGCTTTGGGGTTTAGGGTTTAGGGGGAGTTGGCTTGCCACCAGAGTTTCAACTAGAGCTTCCAAGCTTTTAGGTACACCTTAACCCAAAAGAGCCCATTGTTTTGTGGGGCCCCTACAAACTCCATATCAGGGTTGCTAATAAGAGCTCACAGAAAAGCAGCTTGTGATATGTCAAGGACGGGTTTACGGTCCTAAACATGAGTTTCTGGGGCTACCACATCCCTTCAAGCCCTGCGAAAGCGCGCTGAGGATCGTTCAAGTGCAGGCGCACTGCATCCGGTCCTTGGCCATCCGCCAGGTCACCGTCGCCGAGACCTGAGCCTACTATAAGACCCTTAATTAGAATAGGGTTTGGGGTATATTATACTATGATTACAATAAGGATTCCTTATTGTAACCATAGTATAATATACCCCAAACCCTATAATAAGGAATCCCCAAAACCCTATTCTAATCATTAAGGCCGCTACAGTACTCGGTCCGGGATGTTAGGCTCTAAGTTAAGGGGGCTTCTAGGTGCTGGGCCTTCGGGCTTGGGGCTGGGCGTGAGTTCTTGAGTCTGAACACGTTAGGTTTAGGGTTTAGGGTTTAGGGTTTAGGGTTTAGGTAACACGTTGCAATTCGTGTGGCTTTTAGCTCGCTACAGCATGAAGCAACACTGGTATTGTGCATGTTGTTATTTTGATAAGAACATGACAACAAGGGAGGCATAAACCCTAAACCCCTAAACAGGTTTGTGGTCGTCGATTTTTCTACTGCTGCCTCGATGGGTACCTATCCTTTTGAGTGCCTGGCGATCTTCTCAGAGGCGTATATCGTAGATAAACCCTAAACCCTAAACCCTAAAACCTAAACCCTAAACCCTTAACCCTAACCCCTAAACCCTAAACCCCACCTCAGAGGAAATTTTGCAAAGGAGTGCCGGGTCTTCTGAGCATCCTCTAGTAACTCTAGTACGCAAATAAAAAGCCAAAGGGCCGAGCCTGTTTTAGAGCTAAAGCTCATACTAGAAAAGCCAGCATGCTGCGGGCCTTGTGCCGCACGTCCGTCCCCGTTCCAAAGTCTTAATCCCTTCGATTTTGTTGCAGACAGCCTAATGCAAGCTCCAAGCCGATATGCAGCAGCACCATCAATTCCCACCAGAGGATCTAGACTGAACCCAAAGCTCAGCATCAACATGTGTGTTAAAACACAGAGCTAAAGACACAGGCACTGAATGAGTCCTTGTAAGCTGCAAGAAGATATGCTCTGAGTGAACAAGTACACGGATAGGTACATCGGTCGATACGCAGGATATTTCGAGAGACAAAATCTTCAAACACGTCTGACTGAATACTGCTATATCAACCTACGCCTTCAATCCCACGTCCGTCTTTCAATCGCTCGCATAGCTGCACTCGTAGAGCCTAACGCCCAGGCACTGGGCATGTTGTGGTACCAGGAGAGCATCGTCAGGTGCACCAATAACTATCAGCTCTTAGGCGCGCCGCGGGCGGGGAGCGGACTTCGGTTTAGGGTTTAGGGTTTAGGGCTTGCGGAGAGGAGGAGCATGTTCAGGGGTCGCAGCGTGTAAAGCGTAAGGAGTGGATTGGTTAGGAATTCAGATCTGGGAGGTTCCGAAAATAAGGGGGCCTTATAAGAGAAGGGTCCTCCTATTGAAGGTAATCTATGAGGGTGCCCTATTTTCGGAACCCCCCCGTATGGAGTTTCCGGATCAGCGTTAATTAACCCTAAACCCTAAGACCTTAGTCCTAAGTCGTAGCCTTAGCACTTAGAGCCAAATTGTAAACCCCAAACCCTAAGCCTAAGCCCCTAAACCCCTAAACCCCATAAGTCCCTAAATCCCTAAACCCCCAAACCCCCAAGCCCCTAAACCCCTAAACCGCAAAACACCAAAGCCCATGAACACCCTTAAACCGAGGCATCGAAGTTTCGGTGGGAGATAAGGCAGTAAGAGTCGGATTACTTACTGTAAGACCCACGGCCAGACTACAGTTTTGCCTTTGGTTTCGGGTATGGAGTTCAGGGTTTTCCTAGGTAGTATTAGGGAGACCCCTTAAAGGGGACCCTTCTTAATCCTACTTGTGGCTCTCCCTAAACCCTAAACCCTATAAACACCTAAACCTGAACCCTAAACTCTATAAACCCCCAAACCTGAACCCTAAACTCTAGACCCCAAAGCCTAGGACCCTTTGCGATGCGCGGAGCCGCCAACCTTCGAAGCTCTAGGTTTCTAAGGGTGAAACCTTGGCGCCCTGGTATGGGCCCTTAACCCTGGGATCCTTATACACCTACTGTCTACCTTATATGTACCCTTAAGGGTTTAGGGTTCTTCTAGGGTTTATAGGGCTTAGGGCTTATAGGGTTTATAGGGTTTTGGGTTTCTACTTTCTACCCTATATGTACCCTTAAGGGTCCCTAGAAAGGCCTACAGGTCCATATTAGGGGCCCATACTTCTAACTTTAGAAGGTTGCCACTGCCGTGGACGCAGCTGTGCTGGAGCCAGAGCCATGGGTCCTGCGAAGAACAGCTGCCACCTGCTTGGGTTTAGGGTTTTGGGATTTAGGGTTTAGGGGTTTAGGGTTTAGGGGTTTAGGGGTTTAGGGGTTTAGGGTTTAGGAGTTTAGGGGTTTAGGGGTTGGGGTATAGGGTGTAGGGTCTAGGGCCCCACACCCCTAAACCTGAAGCAACCTTGAACAATAAGCCCTAGACCTTATACTCCGCATCAGGAGTTGGAGCACTTGAGCGTGTGGTGCAGCGCATGGGGACCTTACAAACTAGCAGAAAGGTGAATAGCGGGAGCAAATGGCTTGGGAGCCTGAAACTTAGCAGGCTTAGATTACGAGCCCTCTTGAGGCCATCTGCGTGAGTTGCGTGATTGGGTTGTGCGGCTGTTGGTAGTCTTTACCTCTAGCTGCGACCCTACTTACTACTTTCTACGTCCCTGTTCCTTCGACCTTGGCGCGCCCAAGTCCCAGGAGAGAGATGCTTCCCAGAGGTAAGCACACCCACACCGCCAACCCCAAACCGCAGATGCCCAACCTTTCATACTGAGCTCCGATTTTCCAACTCGCAAACCCGAAGGATAACAAACTGAAACACCACACTCTAAGCCACCACCCTAAACCCTAAACCCTAAGCCACAACCCTAAACCCTCAGCCACAACCCAAAGCCCTAAACCCTAAACCCAAAGCCACAACCCTAAACCCTAAACCCGAAACACCAGAACCCTGGCCCACAAATCCGAAGCCTACCTCTTAGGTAAGGCCGTTGCCACCAACAGCAACGACCAGGTCGCAGCATGACTGCGGGTCAAGACTCGTGGCTCAGGGTCCTCTTCTAAACATAGGGCCCTAAACCGCATAAACCCTGAACCCGAAACCAATAAACCCTATAAGGCCCTATAAGCCCTATAAACCCTGAACCGAATAAAACCCATCACAAAGGCCCTCAAACAAACACAAATAAACCCTAAACCCTAAACCTAGACCGTTAAACCCAAAGCCCGTAGGACCCCAAACCCTCCCTCCCCCCCAAGCCCAAAGTCCTCAGAAGATGTCCGAAATTTCCGACTCCGCATCTTCACAAGCTGCAACTCAAGACCAAAATAGGGTTTAGGGCTTTGGGTTTAGGGTTTAGGGAATCACTCCTGCGGTTGATGCTATAAGTCCTGCATTACCCATAATGACTATACCATAATTCCCATAGTTTAGGGCCCTTAAGGTCATGCAGGATTCATATCATCAACAGTAGGTAGTTTTCGGGAGACTCCTCGAAGGGGACCCTTCTTAACCCTACTTATAGCTCTCTTAAAAGGGACCTTGTTGAGAGGGTCGACATCTCAAAGGGTCCCCTTAATCCTAAATCCTATAATCGAAGCCTATTAGCAAGCTCTAAAGCCAAAAGGGTGCCGAACGAGAATCCCCATCTTACATCCAAAGCAAACTGAACCTCCCCGTAGCAGTGGTATGCTTTCAACATGGCGGTCTGTGTGCTCCGTCTTTGTTGAGCCTTGCTGTCTTAAGGGCCGCTGCTCTTTACTGACTTGTAGTGCTTTCCATTGAGTCATTGGAGCCCAGACCCGCGGAAGGATCTAAAAAGTAGATCCCCTAATTTGGGACCCTATCTACCAAAGGGTACTGTATAGGACCCCCTTTAAAGGACCTACATTTTCCGATCCTTACGGGGGTCTGGGAGTCTAAACCCTAAACCCTAAACCCTAAACCCTAAACCCTAAACCCTAAACCCTAAACCCTAAACCCTAAACCCTAAACCCTAAACTATGATCTGCCCCAAGGCCTTAATTCCCTCAACCTCGAGGCCCTCAACTAAGAAAAGACCCCTCAGGCCCTAAGCCCCAAAAGCCCTAAGAACTTTCATGTGGGTTTAGGGTTTAGGGTTTAGGGTTTAGGGTTTAGGGTTTAGGTTTAGGTTTAGGTTTTTGGGTTTAGGGTTTAGGTTCTAGGGTTTCGGG